ATACACATGCCAGATTTTCATGATGTGACAACCCCTATTCAGTATAACTTGCATGGGCTAAATAATTCACAACAAACTGCACTGTACCATCTGAACAATTTAGTGTGTTTCAGATAGACAGTCATGTTGCCCTCTTATATCAAAATAGAAGAGAGTCATCTTAAAGACTAACAAATGTGTTATATCACAGGGGTTTGGAGAATAGACTACACTTCAGTAGTGTAACACTTCTTGCTTTTGATGAAGCGGAGAAAAGTTTATGGCATAGTAAGTTAGTCTTTAAGATGCCACAAGACTCTCTTGTTGGATTTAATAGTTGGTTGTTTATTCATGTCTTTAAAAAAGAATCTTTTCCCATTGTGTGCATTAGAGGGTGGGAGTTCCTGATGACAGTGCACTGTGTCAGATGTCCATCTTTCCCCAGACTGTACCCAAGGAAGGAGATGGTACATGGTACATTGAAATAAAATTCAATGGATGTGAATGGCTAATGGCCAAAAGTCTACACATTTGATTGCACCCTGAATAGACAGCATACCTGACCACACCAAGCTAACTAGAATCAAACTTGGATTCCTTAGTCCTGACTTGTTTTTGTTGCAGTGTTGTACCTGAAATTAATGGGACTACTTCTAACCTCTAATAATAGACTAAGGATCAGGATGTATCCTTGGATGGTAAGCATATTTGTAAACAGGAGCAAAATTATTTGACATGCAGAAAAGATGTAGAAAACTACTGAATAATTATGCACTGCCCTGGGCTTATAAATGATGATACCCTGTAATATATAGGTACTTTGGAAACTTAGTAATGAGTTAGGCTTCTTTTCAGTTGCTAATGCGAAGATGATAATTTGTTAGCAGAACAGGCATTCCTTGAATTTAATTAGAAATTTTGATTGGGGTGTGTGTGGAGGAGGCCTTTATGAAGATGGGAGCAATAAAAAGACTACCTTTTTGCCCTTTGGAATTGGAGCCTACATCTAGGAAAACCCCATAACTGGAATTAAATTGCAAGAGGAATCAGCTAATATTCTATAGGGCAGAGAAGCCCCGAAGAGTCATAACTGGGGCATGTTAGTTCTCCAGCTTTGAATGAAATTATTCTTAATGAGATGCAATTAACTTTTTGGAATTTACTAAATAATCTAGCAACGTCTTATTGGGAAACATAATTATTAGGAGATTACTTTGTACGGGGGCTCTACAGATGGAGGCTTTGTGGTGCCCCAGTTTAAAACAATTGAACCTGATCTCTCGAGACCCTGTTATGAATGTTGCTCTAAGAACAGAACAAAAATTGCATTTTAAAGCATCATTTTCAGTAGCAGCAGGACAGTTGGCAGAGTTTACCGAGGCTGTTGAGAGATGCTGCAGATTTTAATTACCATCTCAGATTTAACAGAATATGGTAGGTCTCTGCCAGTGGTGAGTATGGTGGTGAGAAATCTTTGCTGGTTTTCGTCTTTTTTCATATTCTGGCAGGAAAAGTAAAGGATTCTTTTAATGTGATTTTTGACACTAAGAGACATTTGTTACATTTCAAGGATTTTTTTTTATTCCAAGATTGGTGGTGGCTTAATTACTTTAAGGTCTGCTGTGGTGTAACTTAGAATGCTCGCAATCATCCTGGCTTGGAGGAGAGTCAATCAAAACTCTTTGGAATTTAGTGCAATAACTGAAACCTTGTACACAGCAGTTACTCTTTGCTATTGAAGGGGTTCAAGCAACAAGCTTGATAGATGGAGAGTGGGGTTGATTGGTTGAGAGAACCATTTCTAGCCTTACTACCAAATAAACAGGATATTAAACTATGGGGGCTGAACTAGTCAAAAGGTTAAATATGTGTAAGCATTTTACAAATTTATTCTTGCTTTTAAAATATCAGTTATGGAGGAGAGGGAAAGTTGGGAACACAGGATTAAAACCCTTTTCCCTGTGTTGGGTCTCTAATGAAAATCCTCCCACTTTGCAACTTGCTGTTTGCCCAGGCAATTTTCTCCTGTTGGAAAGAGCAAGTTGCGAAGAAGGTGAGGATAATCGTCAGAATCCCAACAGAGGTGGAAAGGGTTAAAATAAAATCTGTACCATAGTCCCAATCTTAATAGTGCTGTCTATGTCCGCATTAAGTCATCAAGATAAGAAGTTAAGTCATATTCAGTGCAACACAAAAAGCCATGGTGGTTTTTTAACCATTGTGTTGTCTCACCCATTTGTGGTATTTCACCAGGGTAAGTTTGGTCTTTGATACCATGATGAGAAACAATGTCTTGTTCTATAGTTTCTGTACCATGGTTTGTCATGTTGTCTGAACCCAAGATCATAGTTTGGTATGCATATGCCACATAGTGCTGTGGAAAGAGCATTGACTATAGGAGCCACTCAGCCATCTGGTGTCTATATGTAGACCAGTGAGGAAGAAGCAGTCAACAGGTTGAAAGCAATGCATCTTGAGATTGAATGTCAAGCATGGTGACTGATGGCATTTATTCCAATAGCAGGAGCACTTAGCAGGGAAACCAGAATGGAAACCGTTAATGGATAACTACTTATCATTTGTTGCTAGATCATGGTTTAAAAATGTGAAATGCAGTGACCACACAGGGTTGCTTGTCATGTTCTGTGAACCCAGCCTTTATATATATATAGTTTACATGTCATTCAGATGTAGACAGCCTGATGCCCACCAGATACTTTACATTTCAACTCCAGCAGTTGAAGGAGCACAGACAGTGGCCAAGGGTTCTGAGTCCTAATCTAGATTGACCTTTCAACACATTATGAGAGGAAAGGTGCAATTCTTCTCATCAACTGATTATGATATTTCTGGCTTCTTTGCAATTACTGGCAAGACATTAGTCTAAAAAGCAATGAGTTGTTGAGTTGAGTTGCACAGCAGTCCCCCCTCTCCTGCTTAACCAAATGATCCATGATTGGATCCTTCAGAGAATGGGCAGCATGACATGTAAACCCAATAATTAACCCATGGTTTGTTACTGGGTTAATCCTGGGTGGTTTAACTTCTAAACAACCCAGAGTGGTCATTGCATTACCATCCTTCAAATGTGGCATTCATAGGCCTTTTAATGAAACTGGTAATGGTGCCCACACTTCACCATGGCATTCAAACATGCTCACAATGTATGTGTGCCCATATCTTCCACATATCCATGTGAGATTTTTAGCCTCATGAATTAGGCTCAAAGAATAGACTTAAATTGACTTTTTGACTTAAATTTAATGGTACACCAGTACATAGGTTCCCTGACTGTTGGGGTTGACTTTCAGAAATTTAGAAGGGTCTGTAAAACCCCCTGTGAATTCCAGTCCATGTCTATTCCCCATGCTGTATCATTCTGAAGTCATAGTTTTGCAGAAGTTCTTGAGTTCATGAAAACAAGCGTATCTATTGCAATGTCTTTGTGAACATATACTTTCAGTGCACTTGCTAATGCACAAGAGAAGACATTTAAGTAGGAAGTTGGTTACTCTGAACAGGAAGAACATTAATCCATAAGTGGCATTTTAATTTGGAAAAGCACATGTATTTAACAATATTTATTGCAAGAATTAAGGATGGGAGGGGGGTAGTTAAATGTTTGCATTGTCTTGCAGACTGTATGCTTGAACACATTTAATGCAGCCCCTGTTTGCCTGTGCCATCTGTGCCTCATGCTGTTTGCTTCGTTAAGAATTTTGCTTTGGTAAATGAGAGTTCTTAAAGACAATGAAGGCTTATGAATGAAAAGAAGCACATTTAATTCATTCAAATCATGTGTGGGTATCTTCACTCTGAAAATCAGAGATGATACATGTATACAAACTATAACTTGCTAAGGTGAATAAATACACTGATAGCATAGAAAAATTTCTTGGTGTGTTTTCAGTGAATCCTTAGTCTACATACTCATGGTCATGACTTTCATTGTACATTCATTTTAATTAAGTCGCACTATAAAGTTAGTCTTGCATGAGGGATGAATACACTAGGGAGGTAGTGATAGATTGACGTCTGCTCTGGGAGTAAAATGAGTTTTGCCAGAGTTTTCCAGCTGAATAAAGATCTGCATCCATGTTACCAGTTAAACTTGGGTGATAATGCATACCTTAACCATCTAAGATATCTGATGGTTTATTTGAAGATCAAGGAAAGAACCTGAGATTAAAATTTTAAAAGTAACTTCTAGTTTGTTATTTGACTTTCTGTTGTGAATGAGGAACAACATTACCCAAGTAATAAATTTTAATTAATATTTGTATCATTTTGGTTACTGCTAGTTTAGTAGAGCAATTAGTGTAATTAGTAAACAGCATTGCTCAGTGGCATGATAAATCACAGTGCAGAGCATGTTGACTCTTCACCAGGATGATATATTATCCAATTTACTCAAATTTAATGCATGCCCAAGGAAACCATGAAACGCAAAGTAGCCTAGCAACAGCTGTGGTGGTCTTTGGCAGCTCTTGGTGGATTTGCTCTCCATCTTCTACAAGATTTTAAATTAGTCAAAATTGTCTTCCAATTAAACATTTCATTGTTAAACATTTATAAATGTTCATTTTAAAATCTACACAGAAGAGACAGAAGAAAGGGATGACATTCTTAGAACAGGTCAAAGCTGATTTACTTAGCACAAGGAGCAATTTGCAAATCCACTCCACCATTAAGGACAAATTCCATATTTCTTTTTACTTCACATGTGAATTTTATTATAGTTTTCTATACAGTATATTTCTCCAAAAACTCCTTTATGGAGTTTGTTTATTATGTAGTGTAAGAATAGACTTCATAAATCAACACAATCTTGCTATTAAATACATTATAAGGAACAAACACTGTTTAATCCACAGGTAAACTTATATGAATTGCTTTTCTTTGCCTTCATTTATTTCTTCAGTGGTTTTTGTTCAACAGGTCTGTATTTCTTGTGAAAGCTCCATGGTAGGACATTTTTAAAAAGTTGTTGATGTTTTAGTCTTATATTTTTTTATTTTTAGAACCAATGAGAACACCAAAAACTCTGAAGATTGCTGAAATCCATGCCCGACGTATTGCTGTGGATTGGGAGTCCTTAGGATACAACATTACTCGCTGCCACACTTTTAATGTTACCATCTGCTACCATTACTTCCGTGGTCATAATGAAAGCAAGGCAGACTGCTTAGATATGGATCCCAAAGCACCACAGCATGTTGTGAATCACCTGCCTCCTTACACAAATGTAAGCCTCAAAATGATCCTGACAAATCCTGAAGGGAGGAAAGAGAGCGAGGAAACCATTATCCAAACAGATGAAGATGGTACGTTCAAACTCTTTTCAACTTAATTCCCTTCCTGGCAAAGCAGGTATTGAAAGGAATTGTTATCATGTCACTTTTTTCCTGCTTGGCAATTATTTATTTGCTGCATGCTCATACTAGCCTGTGGATGACTGTATGTTAAAACAAAAATCTTTAATTTGTCATTTCCAGGCATCCAAACAGAAATGACAGGCATGTCAACAAACATCAGTGTAAATATCTTGAATATGATTTTGAAAAATCATTTTCCTCTGGAAATCTCTAATATTGGAGAAACACACTGGAGCTCAGTTTGGGTAGACAATGACCAGGCATAAAGGGTACAAAAGATCTTCAGAATGGGTTGTGCTTCACCCCTCTCACTTCTGTGCAGATTCCTGACCTACTGTGCCTAGCTTTTGTCTTAGATCTTAATACTGTTGCTATCCTTGTTAAAATAAAAGTAATGTTCATGTACTCTAATGACTCACAATGGTATAGTAAGAATTTTGGATAACACAAAACACCTGGGTAGGAAAGGGGAAAAGAGTCACTGGTTCATAAGAAGACAGAGGCCAGGTAGTGTGCATGTGTTTATACTTCAGTGCGCTTTCCAACTTTAATTGAAACCAGCTCCATCTGTGCCAGGCCTAAGGAAGTTGATGGCAAACATCATTATGTGGAAATATATTTTAGTCTATTGCAAGTATTTCTGTTAAAGTCAGAATAACTTCAACAAATTCTTGTTTACAGTGTTGCATTCTGCTAGCTTCCTCAGCAATTACTATAGCATATATTGAGATTACTGCCTTAATATAGCCTTTATTTAATTCTGCTAACAAGATAGCTTTATTTACCTTATTTGAGAGAAAATAGAGGACTCTTTAGATGTTTACAAAGCTCTTTAGTGATTATCCTTTATGAATCTTAATTTTAAACAAATTAAAATACCATTAAATGAAGTTCCTAATTAGATGGAAATTATAATATATGAAAGTAACTTAATGTTAATGTAGCTGAGTTTGTGACTATTCAAAATGCAAGGCAATTTGAAAATATGCATTGTTAATAAGCCTTGCACAATCAGTTTTTCATATTGTATATCCAGTTCCCTTCAATAAAGAGGACAATGAAGAAGACATAGGAGGTGTCCAATTGGAAAAAAAATAGCTATAATGATTTGTCCAAGGGAGAGGAAAGTGAATAGATTATTAATTCAGACATTACAGCAAGGAACCTCAGTGAAGTAAGGCTTGGCATGAACCATGGCTTTAAATATGACTGTGTGTTTGCAGCCTGTAGTTCCATTTTCAGTCAGACATCCTTAAAGAGTGCACAGCAGTCAGTCCAATTTGAAGTCTGGTCAGAGTATTCCAAGGAACAGATTACACAGTAATGTGATGGAATGGGCAAACCTCTCTCTCAAACAGCTGTAGGAGGGCACCACTGAGGAAGCCATGCCTGAGCATGGCAGCACGTGTGACTCCACTCAGACAGTTACACTGTGTCAGCTCTAACAGCTGTGCAAGGAACATCACTTGGCCAAAATAAAATGAACAATGATGGACCTGTTTCTGGGGAACTGAGGACAGTAGAGAACACAGGCTAGGAGTGGCCATTTCTATAGCTGCTCTAGCTAGGGGACTCTGTGGTGTTTCCATTCAGTAAATGGTAAAATGGATATCCAGGGTCAGTAAACTAGAGAAGCCATGGTGAAGTATGGAAACCTTAGAATGGAGCATTGATTTTCTCAGTGGTTTTAGAAACCTAATCCTACCAAGCAGGACTTTTGAAACTGGGTGTGCACAACCACAACAGATTCCAAACATTAAGATTTCATGATGGCTTCTCATGTAGTATGAACCCACCCAGTGTTACACATTGTGTATATGGCAAAACAACATGGGCATTATGCAAGGCAACTAGTGCACTAGTGTAAAGTGCAAAAGCTGCCTCTAGTGCAGCACTGATTCAGTTAATTGGAGCAACGGGTTTCCCTAGGAAACCTGTCATGTCAGCTAATGCTGCACTGATTTGTATTTTTGATAAATTGCACCTTAAGGTCACTTTTTCCCTTTTAATGCCTAATGGCTGCTGATAAACAGAGGTGCAAGCTACACTGGTGTGATATTTGCAGCCAACTCTATTTTCACCTGGAAAATATCTGAATGCAGGCATGCAGAATATGACCCAACAACAAGTTTCCTTCTCTGGGCTCCTTAAAAAGAAACATGGGAATATTAGGAAAGAAATAAATTTCCTGCACTCTTCACTGCCAACTCCAGATGTTTAAGAATCAATGATTCATATGCCTACAGAAATGTGTAATACAAAGGTGAAGTTATATATGTTTGCATAACAGGTTTTCAAATGCTCTACTGACAATCCAATACTTCCAGTTAACATATCTCCATGAATCATTTTCTGTTGCCAAGCCCCTCTATATAAAATATCAGATTTCCAGCAGAGAATTAAAACAATAAAAAGAGGAGATCAGAAAGGCCAGAGTGATTTAAAGAAAACCTTTCAGCACTTGAGGTTAAGAAAGATTGTTGTAGGAGTAATTGGAAGACTGGTCATGAGACATAATAGCTAGTGCAAATGGGCCAAAATTGGGTTTGACCTGAGGAAAACATGGGCCTTGACAAGAAAATGGAGATAAGGCTCTTTCTTTGTTCATTCCCATGAAAGAAGCAGAAAAGGGCAAATGTATCCCTAGACACATAGGAGGGGAAATACACCAAGCAGGCAGGAAGGTCTAGAGCAGGGCTGGAGAACCTTTTTCTCTAGCAGGCCACATTCCATTGTTGGTGGTCAGGACCTTTCCTCTTGTCTCTTTCTTCCTGCTACCCCTATTTCTTTCTTACATGTGTTCCACCACCCTCTTCCTCAAGCTTTCTCACTACCACCCTGTGCCTTCCCCTGCCCAGCTGACTAATGGAGGAGGAGTGGAACACCCTTGTCAATGCTGTGGACTGACAAAGGACTTATGAAAAGCTTTTGAAATCAGGCTGAGCTAAGCTATATATGAAATGAAGCCGATTGCCACAGATTGCCCACAGGTTGCATTATTATTGTAGGCATAACTGTTTCATCCGTAACAGCAATATTGTGAGCAGTCAAAAGTCTGGAGCAGTGGGGACAAAGACATGATTGGTAGTGGGACTGAATTCAAATATTGCTCTTCTCGAACTAACCAACCGATTCTTTAGTTGCTAGATTCTAGTTCCATTTTATTATGATGATTTACAGTCTTGTGGTCTTACATCCACCTGCAAATTACTTTTCTAAGCTTTATGCTTGCAGTCTTAAATGACTGGGCTTGTAATGAACACTCAAGCATTGTAAATAATATGACAATACTCCTTTAGTAGACATATTTCAGTTTGGTCTGCCATGTGCACATTCAGCTGCCAGAGGAAGGCTATCACCTGGGCTAAATCCTGTGCAATATACACTTCCTTTGGATTATAGTCAAGGGAAATTCAGAGCATTCCCATAGAAAACAGAATGATGCCTGCAGCACATCAGCAAGTGCCACAAAGCAACACACAGGGACTGTCAAAATCCATCAGCTGTCATCGACTTTGGAATCTTTGTCAGAATTGTATGAAGCAAATAACAGCAGTTGACTGATGGATAAATATTTCTCATGGAAGATGAGTGTTTGAATCTCATCTGTGTACCTGTGGTCTTCTATGAATGTATTTCTAAGTCATTAAATTAAATTTTATGCCCAAGGCAAAGCATATTATTTATAGTTTCATATATTCAGAAATAAAACTGACACTTATGATGGTCCTCTCACTACTTTCTAATGCTGCTAGCAGGCTGTGTGGCATTTCCCTTGATCCAATGACTTTAATTTATCTTTGTCCATAACAAAATTGCAGTATGTTTTGAAAATAAATCTTTAGGAAACATCATATGTAAAATTTAAGCAATGTTGAACTAAAGTGTGAGAAAAACTAATTTGAAAGACTGGGCGAATATAGGTTTGGATGCTTAAATGGAAGGGACCTTTCCTTTCTTTCTTTCTTAATTTTCCCTTTTATTTTGAGTTGGCCATATACCTGTTTTCAAAACACACACCCTCTTCTGATTATCTGATCACAGTTACAGAAATGCATAGGTTGCTTTGGAAGTCCTTTTAGAATTGGAATACAGGATAATTACAGTCTAAGTGGTAATTTAAACTGCAACAACTTCACATATTCAAACTGGCATTTAATGTTATGTGAAACTTGGTTTTAAGACAAAAACTCATTTGCTTGATAGATTGCCATTATCTAACTTTGGGGGAATTGTTTCACTTTTATCTTAATCCTATTGTTGCAGTACCTGGTTCTGTACCTGCAAAGTCACTAAAGGGAACCCCATTTGAAGACAAGATCTTTCTAAACTGGAAGGAACCTATGGATCCAAATGGCATCATCACACAATATGAGGTATTACTAAAACCCAGCTTAGCAAAGTGGTACCATCTTGATTTACAGCACAGTGTGGTTATGGTACATCATAAGTGGAGTATAGATTGCCACACTGCAGATGGGGTATGGTTTATAAGGTTCCCCAGCACTTATCTTATTTCCCAGTCTTCACTGGTCACTAGAGCTGTTTATTCAGCACCATGAAAGCTCCCATTGATAGCCTGGAAAATGTCCCATAGTCTCTTTGGTTCATACTTAAAGTATGCTACAAGGAAAAAAAACTATTTCCACCATTTTACCATAGAAATAAGATATGATCTACATTTGGCAAACTTAGAACATGGCTCATTAATTTTCATTCCCTTTTGATGTCTGCAAATAATTATATCTAAGCTTTTTTTAAAAAAAGTTGACTGTTTTCTTTACAGAACACATACTAACTCATCATCTGAATAGAGGAACAATACTTTCTGGATTGTGTGCTGCTAAACTAGACTAAATTAGGACATGATACAACTACTATAATACTTAAAATCAATAATTAATATTAAAATTGCATAATAATACATGGTGGTTGTTGCCAGGACACTACTAGTGAGCTTTTAGTCAGTGATGAAATTCAGGTCTTAAATGTACTTTGATTTAAGGCTGATAACTTTGATACACAGCCTTTCAGAATCCTGCTTCAATGTAGCCCTGTCTGGTGAAGGCTGCAAGTAAAATATATGGGAATTTATTAATAGAAATCAGACAGTTCTAAGCTCCAAGGTAATGTGTTTTTCTTCTTCAAGAAACTCTGAATGCAAAATCTTGGAATTTTTTTAAAGTGGTTTGATGAATGAGCCCTCAGGGAATGAAGGAGGAACAATCACTTTGCACCCAGCTTCAGAACTGGGTCACCTTGACAATGCTGCTTTTCTGCTTAAAAACAAATGCCCTATTCATATATTTACATGCTAATTTGTGCTTATCCAGTTAGTATTTTAATGCTAAATATTTAATGAATACAATTGCTGTGGTCGGTTTATCATAGTTAGGCTTAAATATATATATATCTTGTTACTTGCTTATCTGTAGGTACTAGTTTTAACAAGCAGAAGGAAAGAAGGATGTACAATCCTGCCACTTCCTCTTAAAAAGAAAATAGAATGTATTACTGAACCTGAAATATCTGTCTGACATTATATAGCGATTATATAGAGATATAGAGCCTGCATAATTTATGATGAGACATGTTGGATGGCATAGGCACTCAATAAATTGTATGCCTGGTGCTGCAGAAACAGCCACCTGGCAAACTGCAGTAGATGCTTGTTGAACCAAATTATTTATTTATTTGATTTATATGCCACCAAATAGCTGAAGCTGTCTGGGCAGTTAACAACAATCTCTTTTTAAAAGTTCAGGTATAATTACAATAAAACAGCATACATTTAATAGAAAAATTAAAAACTATTTAAGGAGTAATGTATGTTCAATGCGCTCTGTTTGCTAGACAACTGCAAACACAACCCCTATTCCAGCTTTCCATCTATGTCACTAAAGCTATTAAATGCCTTGACATAGAAGAATAAGTCAGAAAGATAACAAGCTGGGGCCAGGGAGGTTGCAGTGGGGAACTTGTTCCATAATTATGGGGTTGTCACTTAGAAGGCGGTCTTCCTTGTTGCCACCAACCAAACCTCCCTCAGAAATGACTGTAAGAAGAAGGCTTCAGATGTTGAGAGTTGTGTCTGAGCAGATTTTGGTTGTGAGTGGCACTCTGAATTCAGCTTGGTTGATCATAATTTGAATAGGCTGAGGTTAAGAGACATGGGCATTGCAGTAGTTAAAATTAATCTTTCTTACTATCTTTCTTATAATCTTTCTAACAGTCTTGAAAAGTTTGTTTCTGATTTTATGCATAGTTATGGCAGAAAGATTGTGGCATGTCTCCTGCAATCCTAGGCAAAGCTTGAATTTAAAAGTAAAGACCCATCCAAATCCAGTAACCTAATCTCAATGCTTAACTCACTGATTCTCAAAAATCAGCTTTGCCTGCCAGAAATCCTACTAAAAACCTGCAATTGTTTCCACAGGTCAGTTACAGCAGTATAAGGTCATTTGATCCCGCAGTTGCAGTGGCTGGGCCAGCTCAAACAGTGTCAAAGCTATGGAACAGTACCCATCATGTTTTTTCCCATTTACATCCTGGGACCACCTACCAGTTTTATATAAGGGCCAGCACCGTCAAAGGGTTTGGACCAGCTACAGCTATCAACGTAACCACCAACATTTCAGGTAATGCCAAGCATAAAACAGATAGAAGATTGGCCATATTAAACTTGTGTTACATATATTGTTTCCCATTCCGTTTATAGAATACAACAAAATCCAGGCTACAATGAGTACAAGACAATAAGCACGTGATAGAATTACATGAATAGAGGAGGCTACGCACAGTGTTGTGTTCATGAATATGCACAGTAGGATATGTTGCACATAGTCAGAAACCCACATTGAGTAATATGGATTGTTCCCCAGCATTGTAAATGATTACCAAATTCCTTTGTACATTAAAATGCAGTTGCATTTCTACAGCATATGCTGTGTTCTGGATTGCAGCTCAATGCTCATTCATTGTCTTAAAGATATTGTGGGAGCTGGATTTGCTAAAATCAAAAAGCATTAAAGGCAATGATACTTCCCTGTTTTACCCTTCTGTTAAAATATAACAGGCTGATGCATTCACTATTCTGGAATGTCCTCCACAACTTTCTAGAGCTACCAGAAATGATTACTAAAGTAATGGCAAATAAATGCCCTGCAGTTATTCTACTGTGAAGTACTATTTTTCCGACAGCATTTGCATGTCACATTACTCCTTGAAATCATGATTTACACTAATCAGGGTAAACAAGCCAGCTTCATAAGTCATGGTTTGAAGCTAACTTATTTTGCAATTGCTCTGAACTACAGTTAAAACACAACCTTTGTTTCCAGCACAACAACAAACCGCACAACACAACAACAACATTAAGCAAAGTAAAAGCATCCACAGTTGTCCTCGTATTCATGCTACATGAGCAGACCTCTTAAAAGGCCTTGAATATATTTTTTCTGTTCATGAACCCTTTGAGTAGCTATTCTTGCAACTCAAGAAAGAAAATTAGAAGTACTCTAGTCTCCTTAAATGCTTAAAAGCCTTTTATATGCCAGTGACTTATTTTTGGACAGAATTATTTTATTAATCCAATATATTTTGGCCCGTGAGGCCCCTTCTGCCTCGCTCTGTTTCTATGTTTCTATTTTGAAAGAATAGAAAAAAACAGTATGGAAGTTCTGGACTTGCTGCAAACAGAGAAGTGGGATAAAGGTTCTAACAGCATTGCATGCTTTGCTAATAAGGAACGTGGTGGTGTGGAGCGACCATGTGCAAACATCACTGTGCCCCCATGCATACCGCAGCCATGCAGTGAGAAAGCAGAAGCGTGATGAGCTGCCATCTTGCTTTTATGGTGAACACATGCAGAGTTGGTTCATAACACCATTGCACAGTGAAGATACTTAGTAAACTTCCGGAGAGTAAGAAAACAAACAGCAGTTGTCTACTGTTGAAATGAAGTGTATCTTTTCATTGGAATGGTGTTTCTGTATCATCCCACATTCTCTAGTGAAAGTGCTTATATTTCAAAAGACTAGGATTAAAAATCAGTTTTTGAGATATGAATAATTTAGAATGGCTACATCCAAGTTTTCAAAAGACTTGAAAAATTGTCATTATTTCACAATGCGCAACGGTTAGTGCTAATTTCTTTCATTCTGAGCTGCCATCTCCCTGTCACGTCCCTGCAAAATTTAAATCAATTCAGTAGAGGGAAATTGAACATGGTACAACAGTTTATACATAATAGATACACAATTCAACAATATCTTCAATATACTTGAGGAGTATTTCTTATACAGTACTTGCTGAAACATTGAATAAAAATGGTCTGGGATCATAAAAGATTCTTATTGCAAGTTATTTGCTGGGGTTATTTCTATAATACATTTCCCACTCCATAGTCTTAACAACTGTGTGGTTAATTTAAATGAAGGCGTATGTTCAGGAAAAGAGTAACCGCCATTGATAGGTGATTATAAGGACATGCTTTCTAGTCCTGAAAATGTTTTATCATTTCTGTCAAGTATTTGGGGGATGCAAGGTACCCTGCAAATCCCACAGGCCTGATGATCAATCCTATAGGGCTTAGCATCTGCCAGTGATCTTAGTGAACAGTTGGGGCTATGGAGGGCTTTGGGTAGGCCTAATGTAGCATGGCATGTAACCCAAATGATATCCAGGTATAACATGATGCAGAATTATTATCATTATTATTACCACTACAGCTACATCACATTTATACTTCACTGTTCTTCCATTTGCAAGGATTCTAATGTAGCATACAAAGTTTACCTCTTCTCTTTGGCTTCCTGACAACAACAACCCTGTGAGGTATGCTAGACTGAGAGTCTGTGACTGGTCCAAAGTTACCCGGTGAGCTTCATGACTGAGTGGGAATTATAACCCAGATGTCCCAAGTCCCCAGCCCAATATTCTAACACTGCACCACACATTCTGTCAGAGTTAAATATTCTGCCACAATATTCATTTGCATAATCTCTTAAACACACAGCATTCTAGAGCTCAATGGAAGTTCTACAGAAAGGAAGGTAGAAAACCAGGGGAAAAAATATTGCAGTGCTCAGGACAACTAAAGGTATTCTGCTGTGGTAACCTTCTTGCAGAACATCCTGCTGAAGGAATGACCAGCTTGATTCCCAATTTTAAGGAAAAGAATCAAAAAGTACCCTTTGGTGCATTGCAGGTCATAGTATAATCCAGTGATGGCAAACCTTATAGAAACAGAGTGCACAAACTGCAACCCAAAACCTACTTATTTATAACACAGTTGCAACAATGCAATAAAACCTGACAACTGAGGTTTTAGCTTAGAAAAAACAACTCACAGCAAGTCCAAGCAAATATATATATACTTGGCAGTGCACTGACTGTCCATGGGAAAGCTTGGACGGGTCAGGGCTAATGAGTCACAGCTTGTAACATAATTGCCTGGCGCTGCTGCTCCTTTCTAAGCATGTGCATAGCCCCTATTTGCGCTGTTATCTGATATTCGGCTACTGGTGCTATGCTGGGTGATTTGCCTCACATGCCGACAGAGAGGGCTCTGCATGCATGCTGTGGCACGTGGGCCATAGGTTAGCCAACACTGGCCTGACCCTACCCTGGTGCACTCCCATACCCCTAATATAGGAGGAAAGTACCATTGCGAGGGTCAATTCTAAAAACGCCTTCCTAAAGTAGCTTTTTCTGCAAAGCTCATCATTTCTGCCCATTCTAAACACATTCCAACCATCAATGTCATCCCAGGAAACCTCATTTCTCTAACCCTACCCCTACCCTGGTGCACACCCCTATCCATATTATATGGGTTAAAAAAATGGAAATAATGCTATTTTGAGAAAGCCTTCCTTGGGTATATTTTTCTGCACAGCTCATCATTTCTGTCCCTTCTAAACATATTCCAACCATCAAAGTCTTGCTGGGACACCTTTTTTTCTAACCCTAACTTCACCTGGTGCCCACACTTATCCCTAGCATAGGGCTAAAGTTAAATTAAAAATAGAGCAATTTTAAAAAGCCTTCCTTGAGTACCTTTTCTGCACAGCCCATCATTTCTCCCCATTCTAAACACATTCCAATCATCAAAGTCATGCCAGGACGTCTGGTTTTTCTAACCCTAACCCTACCCTGTTGCACACCCCTATCCATATTATTGGTGTGATATACAATTGGAAATAATGTGATTTTGAAGAAGGCTTCCTTGAGTAGCTTTTTCTGCACACCTCATCATTTCTGCCCATTCTACACACATTGCAACCATCAAAATCATGCCAGGACACCTTTTTCTATCCATATTCCTACCCTTTGACCCACGCCTAACCCTAGTATGGGGCTACAGTTAAATTAAAAATAGGGTGATTTTGAAAAAGCCTTCCTTGAGTAGCTTTTTCTGCACAGTTCATCATTTCTGAACATTCTAAACACATTCCAAGCATCAAAATCATGCCAGGACACCTCATTTATTTTACACTAACCCAGAGACCAAGTGCCCAAACTGCAACCCAAAACCCACTTTCTTATCACAAAGTGGCAACACTGCAATAAAACCTGAAAACAGCCATTTCAAGCAAACATGTCTCCATATATTCTTGGCAGTGCCCTGACCGGCCATGTCAAAGCTCGGACAAGTCCCGCCTAATACGTTGTGGCTTGTGGCATCATCGCCTTGCACCACTACTCCTTTTCAAGCATATGCACGGCCCCTACGTGCTCTGTTATCCTATACTCAGCTTCTGGGGCGATGCTGGGGAAACTTGAGTTGCATGCCGACAGAGAGGGCTCTGCGTGCCCACTGTGGTACACGCACCATAGGCTTGCCACCACTGGTATAATATATTTCCTGAAGTTTTGTCTGGAATCATTTGTGCATGTGATCTTTTTTTTGGGTGGCTTTAAATTGTTTTAATTTAAATTGTAATTTTAATTAATGGCCAGTTCTGGTTAAAATGTAGGATAGAGGGGAAAAGCTGCATCCAGTGACTGATTGCAGCATACCCAGGTTGTCTGAAAGTTCATGAAATATCTGCTCTTTTGGGCCCTTCAAAGCTTCAGCAAAAACTTTCTGCAGAGAAATGGAAGAAATTGCAATCCAATGTATGCATAAACAGCTACATGTAGTTCTTGAGACTCTTCCCTACCACTTCCTGTTTGTAATTTCCATGTTTTTGCCGTGATTCAAGTCATATGCTAACCCAGAGTTGGCAGTTGGGTTCAGCAACTTACAACAAGTCACCCAAATGACTGCCATTAAGAAACAAGACAATAGATACATGATCAAAGGCCTTGTAAAATTGGTAGAAAAAACTGAATGTTTTAAACCATTTCTAACTTTCTTTTTGATCAGCCCCCACGTTACCAGACTATGAAGGCATTGATGCATCTCTCAATGAAACTGCTACAACCATAACAGTACTGCTGAGACCAGCCCAGGCCAAAGGTGCTCCAATCAGGTAAAAAGAAAACAACATGTGGACCCTTGTATAGTAAATGTATATGGATAAACCTTTAGTTAATCCATCATGGAACATCAAAACAATATGCGCCTTAAAAGACTAACACATGAGATCACAGAAGCTGTGCCCTAATAAATCTATTCATTTTGAACATGCAGTGAAACTTGTAAGGTTTGGTTTGGTTTGGTTTGACAGCTTCCCTTCTGGAATATGGAAGATATTTATGGCTGTACTCTTATAACAGGATTGAGGAATGAGTGGCTCTCCATTTGTTGCTGGGACTAATGAGAATTGCAGTAGGGTGACATACAGAGTTCCCTGTATTCTTCACTGTATCGTATACCATAAGGTTTACTTTCAAGTAAAAGAAATATAGAATAGGGCTGCATCACCTCTTTTGGACCCACTCCATTAGTAAAGAGAGAGCTATTATTCATATGTTGGCTGTGTTTGTCTGCAAAGCAAGGGGCCTTGCCTTACTTTAAGAAGGATGCATTTAGTTGATCCAGGCAGCTTTCTCCATTCCCAGTGAACTGGAAACAGAAATATGCACTTGTAAAGGTTTTTTATTTTCTATACAACCTTCACTTGTAAAGGTTTTGGTTCTTTTGAACTGGCCGGAGAGCTTTGGCTATTGGACAGTATACAAATGCAATAAACAGACTTCAGGGTGCTAAGATGAGGGAGGGGAGAAGATTGGCAGCTGCTGTCCTGTGCACTGCATGTATCCCACCTTGTACGTGGAAAATGTGAGAATTTATTTCCAAGATTTATTAGTCAGCCTGCAGTTAATAGCTCTTAGGGCGATGTACAATAAAACACAAATAAAATCCAAAATCCACATGAAACCCTGAAGCAGCATAATAAAACAATAAATTAAATGCAGCAATCCTTTTAAAGCAGGAGGGACTGAAGCAGGCATCAAAATACTGAAATATGCAATATTGAGAACACAACATAGCAGCAGACACAGCACAATAAACAACCAATTAAAAGCAGCAGAGCCAAAAAACAGGTAGCAGAAGAGCACTGAAAGTGTAAAGACAACATTCCTTGCACACAGTGTAACAGCAGTAAAAGGACTGAGAAAATAAAAGCTCTTTGACAGGCACTGAGACAATAATAAAGTAGGCACCAGGTGGGCCTCTCTGTGGAGGGTATTCTACAACTAAAAATGTGGGGCAGCTACTTAAAGGGCCCAATCTTGAAGATCATCTCAGAGCACATACAAGAATAAAGATAGGAAGAGGTGCTATTTTGGATACTGTGACTTAATGCCTCCACTTTAAATTGGATCTGGAAACAAACTGAGAGGCAGTGAAGATGAAATATGAAGAAATTGCCAGTTCCTGTCAGTAACCTAGTCACTATGTTTTGTACCAATGGAAGGTTTGTGTGTGTGTGTTTTTTTTTTTTAAGAGCAAGCAAAATGTGTCTGATTTGAGAATGTCTAGTTATGGCCCAGCTCCTGCACTTTGTTTACCAATTTGGCTTTGATCCAGGATCCTTTGATCCAGGAACCAACATAGCCATGGCTAAAAGCAGTGCATCTCAGGATACAGTACTGCCAATACATTTTTGTTCTCAAACTTCAGACAACTATGAATGTTAAACAGTTGCCTGGCTTAAATATTCAGTATCTAAATACTTATTTTAGGAGCCAGCCTTCCCTCTTTAATTGTCTCCTTGCATTCTTTGTCTGCTCCATGAGCTGGCCCTTTCAAACAGATGTGCTGTAATCCAATTCAAATCTGCAGGTGCGTCAATCATTCCTTAAGATGCAACATGCTGCAGTAGTCACAGTTTTAATCATGACATAATCGTGTCTTGCCTGCCAAGCGTTATCTCATAATCTCCAGTTTTCTTTATGGCCTCTTGAAGTCGTAAGCCAGACAGCGGATGTGAAATTCAAAAGGATAGTGGATGCATCTATTTTTGTAATCAGAGGTTAAGCCTTACTTTTTTCAAGTGGGAGATTCTCCACTTAGCCAGTAAAGAATGAATATTTATTCATTAGGGAGCTATATGAAAAAGTGTTTTGCTTATCACTGGAAGCATGAGCTCATTGGGCCTCTCTGTGTCTTCAAGTTATAAATAAATATGCCTGGAAATTGCTGATAGAATTATTAAGGGGATGATGATGACGACGACGACGACCATTTCTCCATGTTGGATTTAGAAGGAGGTGTTCCTCACTTGGGGACTCTTCCGTATCAAAAGATACCGAAGGAATATAAGTAGGAACTGGTTATTCTAGTTGTTTAAGTCGTGGTGTTTAGCTTGCATAAACAACAAACAATGTCATATAACAGAAAGGACCACATTAGACAGCAGGTATAGATTCTCATGGTTGAATAATTTTCTGTTTGAAATAAACTCACTGCACATTGAAGCCCAGATGTCAGTCAGAAGTGTTCAAATCTTCCCTTCTTCCTGATGTACTAGTTTTGTACGCACAGTTCATCTCGTCGCACCATGCCGTCTCCCTCCTGCAGCCTGAAGTGGCACAGTGCAAGGTCAGATTTACCACTTCATCTGCTGGTTTGTATGCTAAGCTTCAGTGGCCTTGAAGTAGCAAAGCTCAAACATGCTGTCTGTCCTCAAAATCAGCTCATAAAGGCCAGAGGGACTCCAGATGCCAGCATTACCTCCACATGCCAGCATTGTACTTCCAGGCAAGAGCTTTAGGCCTTCACACATTCCAGACAAAGGCAGGAAAAGGATTTCTGTGCACACACAGATCCAGCGGAATGCATATCTTTGCCTGTGTGGGATCAGGAACACCTTTGTTATCAAAGTTCCTTGTCAGACAGAGGCTTCTAAGCTCATGCATATTTGCACAATCCACATAGACAATAGAGTCTAGGCTAGTTTGTGCAACCCTACTCTCCACCTTTTCTCATGGGGCTGCCATCTCCACTGCTTCTTTTCTAAATGGTGGTGGTGGTGGAGGTGGTTGGCAGCAAATGTTTCCCTGAATGAGATCATGGCTTCATGTCAAAACAGAAATTGGTTCATACATAACGCATTGTATGCCCCCCTTCTTTGCTTTACATATACACATTGCACTCTCCTTTCATTCTCTCTTCTGGCATTCTTCTAAACTGGCCAGATATTGAAATTGACAGGTTTACTGATCCCCTGATACTTTGGAGAGCAGAAGTCTTGTCAATTGTTTTGTGTTGGCAGTTCAAAAGAAAGGAGTGACAGTGTCTGCAAAAGCAAAGATAAGGTCTATGTTCCCAGCTGGGAGATCTAGTTGCTTATACAGAACTTGATTGTAACCTATTGCTGACTAAATTCTTAAAAAGTAGGAAGTAAAGAAAGCACATATTAACACCTTTAACAGTATCTGAAAATAAAATTAGTAGAATAAGCTTCTTTGTTTATCAACATTTTGCTTATCAACATTTTTTCACACTGCTTTCTATTCCCTGGGTTCAAGCTCATTTTGCTCTTTGCTAGTTTCTTAGATTTTACCGAAACATATCCCTGGAGACAATGTGAATCTGTGAATCAGTGGATTCTTTCCCATCACTGCATGATCATAAACAACAGTCAATATAAATATGTATTTTCCTCAGCATGTGATAACCTGGAGTGTCAGTCAATTTAGAGTGCAACCCTATGCATGATTAGGCAGAAAAAATCCTGATTGGGGAATCTTGGGAGTTGTAGGGCTTCTTTTTGTCCAGACATGCATAAGATTGTGCCCTAAATTTATTTATTTTTAAGGTCTGTTTCTTAAACGCAAATTTTAATGACGGGTCAGCTAAAATGTCATTCTCAATCAATCAAAGTTGCTACATTTCTAAAGAAAAATGGCATAGCAGTCCTGTAATGTAGTTCACTGTTAATATGCAAATATTGTAGTTGGGAATAAGACTGAGAAAGAGCTGCCGTATACCTGTCATATACTGCACTGTTAAGATCACCTGATTGCAGATGGGAATGGATCAAAGAACAGCTTCCTAACAATGGCCTTTAGAGCTACTAGATCTACACGGTTCTCCTTTCCCATCAGATTTTCCACAGCATCATCAAAGGCCAGCTTCCCAATGCCTTTTATTCTCAGAAGTGGATTTTAGGTAACTTTTATTGTCACCTGTTGCCTGGATGGCCTTGGAGCTATGTAGGATACAGTTCTTTTCTCGGTTCTCTGGGCCCCAGGTAAGATAGTGGAACTGGGAGTATTAAAATTATGCATGGTGTGGAGCAAGTAGATAAGGGCAACATTTTTCAGCCTCTCAAAATGATAGAACCCAGGGGCATCCCATGAAGCTGACTGGTGGGAGAATCAGGATAGATGTGGCACACAGTTAAGCTATGGACATCACTTCTTAAAGATGTACTGATTTGGAGAACTTTAAAAGTAGATGGGGTTAATCCATGGAGGAGAAAGATGTCTAGGGCTGCTAATGCTGTTTGGATATATGCTGCCTCCAATATCAGAGACAATATGCTTATGTACACCAGTTGCTGGGGAGCATTGGTGCAACAGTTCTGTCCCGCTTGTGGGTTCCTGGATGCAGCTGCATGGCCACTGTGTGAACAGAGCCCAGGCTGAGATGGATCTTTGGTTTGATATAGCATGACTTTTCTTACTTCTTGTAATCCCTTCAGGCCCTCCCTACAAAACATGGGAAGGCAAACTCCCTCTTGTAAGCAAAAGAGGGAAGCAGTCCCAGTTAGTGGGGGTTATATTGAACCATGGAACTTTAATTCTTTTTAGGTTGTAATCCTAAAGATATCTCATACTTTGGGTGTGCATGCATGAAACTTTGCTTTGCTTTGCTTTGAAGCTGTGTCTGGCATAGCCATGTGGTCCAAATGGATCCAAACATGCAACTGAGTGATTTCCCTTGTCACAGAGTCCTCATAACTTAAAATGAGAGTATTGCCATGCTGTTGGCACAGTACAAAATTGGAAGTTGATGTTAGTTATACTATTTTTAATTAAAAGCTAACATTAGTTAGTTGAACTGTGTTTGATGAAAAAGAAAGGGGGGCGAAGAAAGATCATCAAGCTTGTGACCTTCTTTTTAACTATGTTTAAGAGAGCACTGGTGTTACATCTGTCCCTGACCGAAGCCTAAATAGTGGAGAGGAACTGGCCAAGCATAAGAAACAACTCAAAATACAGTGGTACCTTGGCTTATGAACTTAATCCATTCCATGACTCTGGTCGCGACCCAAACTGGTAGTGACCCCAGTCAAATTTCCTCATAAGGTTCAATGTAAATAAGGTTAATCCATTCCGTAACCATTTTTTTTTTAATCACAAAAATTTGAAACAAAGTGACAAAGAACAACAAAGATTGCGGCCATCTCCCCCTACTCCCACACATGACTGCAATTGCAACCGTCTTCCCTGCACGAGCACAACTGTGATCATGGCCATCCCCCCTGCCCCCGAGCACGACCGTGATCGTGCAGGGAAGACGAGGGGGATGACGATTGTCACCTGATGTGGAGTTCATGACCTGAGGCAAATTTTTTCTGAAATTTCTGTTCGCGACCTGATTTGGTCATGAACTGAGGCATTTGTGAGCCTAGGTACCACTGTATTGTATGTTTCGGAAGTGCTTACTCCTACAAGATGCCTACTTGCTTAAAATATTTACATACTTTACTGGATGTGAATCACTCTTCTTTTAGTATATTATCACATTTTATTTTATTTGCAGGGGCAGTTGGGCAAGTGGTGGGTGGTGGCAGGGGGGATTTTGAAATGCTTTTAGTGTTTTGCTCTGTTTTTAAAACAAAAATTCAGCATTTACCTTTATGGCACTTGCTATCAGATCATCCAAGAAATGGTCATCAACCATTTGCCTCTTCCTTTGATAGGGAAAAGAATTATAATCATGTTCTCTGTTGAAATGACATTTTTAGGAGGAATGACCAAGAGTTGTTATTACGTGGAAGGTATTGGCAAGTTTAGGCTAAAACTTGGTGTGTATGGGGCAGGGGTTGGTTTGGGGATGTGTATGTTTTAATTATTATTAAATAGGCTGAATGCCATCTGCTCTAGCAATTTGTAAAATTTTTATCTGTGGCTACTGCAGGGAAAGGCGGCAGACTATTTGGAGAGAGTAGACAGATTTCCATCCATCTGTGCTTGTATTGCAGGATGTCGCTTACACTTTAGATTGGCATAGCTGTGAGCCAAGCTCAATGGCCATCAAGGTCAAAAGGTTGGCGATGTCTGTCAACATGCTCTGTCTCTAATAATACTACAACTGCAAATTGGTGCTTCAGGCATCGCTTGGAGGCTGCCACGTTAGGCCTCGAAGCTGAGCTTTCTATAATATTATTTCAAAGGCAAATACTAACTTCAAATGCTGCAAATTATCAAGCAGAAAGCTTAATCTGTTACAAATGTGAGATCCAGTCTTGGGCTGCTTAATACTTCAAAGTCCATGTGAATGCTGGGAAGGATTTTCTTCTTGTTACATTAGCTCTTTGGAGGAAGAGAGCCTGAGAGGAATACTACTGGGAGAAAAAGAGAATTACAGAAAATAAAATCAACCACTTTCCAGTCAGTCTTTCATTGAAAGCAATTCAGTTATTGAAGGCAGACCCTATCATTTTCAAATGTGTTTATCTCCCCATCTTGTGCTTTTGTATAGCACCATTTGTGTACTGTAGCCCGGTGTGCTACACTTCTGGCATTATCTCCTAAATATTGTTTTTCTCTTGGTTTTGAACAGTGCCTATCAGATTGTTGTTGAAGAATTGCATCCTCATCGAACCAAACGAGAAACAGGTGCAATGGATTGCTACCAGATACCCATCACATATCAGAATGCTCTCAGTGGTGGTTCTCCGTATTATTTTGCTGCAGAACTGCCACCTGGTAACCTTCCTGAAGCAGCCCCTTTCACAGTTGGAGACAACAGAACTTACCAGGGCTTCTGGAACCCACCTTTGGCTCCTCGGAAGGGGTATAATATCTACTTCCAAGCCATGAGCAGTGTTGAGAAGGTAGGTGCATAGAAGCTTTTCTTTCTGAAATAAATCACAGGTATTGCTCTTGACTATCAGAGCAATGCCATGGTCAGCAGAGATGTTTTCGGGTACACAAGGCCTGAAAATTGTTGGCTGCTTTTCTTTCTGCACAGCACTCTTCCCATACATAGAGTGAACAATTCTTGATCCCCCACCCCATTTCAAAAGATGGTCAGCATGGAAACATGTCAGGATAGACTATTAGCATTGATTGATTGATTGTATTATCATTTTACCTTTCCTCCAGCAGCTTCAGAACAGCTAACAACATTATAATAAAAATAATAATATGAATTGAACACATACAAACAATATAGAATACAGCTTAAAACAACAATGGAACAGTTAAAAGACTTTCTAGAACAAATGCATGTCTGGAGGTGACTCGAAACATTTTAGTTCCTGTTGTCGAATTTCCTTCTCCAGCCTGTTGCCCTCCACATATTTTGGACTGCAACTTCTAGCATTCAGGACCACTCTGTTTTAGGAGTTAAACTCCCAAATATCTGGAAGTTTGGGTACAAAATCCAAATAGCACAAGTCCTTGTTGAGGGTAAAGAATACAATCTGAATTGACAATTTGTTTCCTTTAGTTGTATCCCAAACTCCACCACAAGGACGGCATCTTGCCTTATCTGATCCATACTGCATTCTGATTTTGGTTCAGACTGTTGTTTTTTGGTATTATATGAACCCTTACGCTGAGTTCTTTTTCAGGCTATGTCTTTCCATACCATTCTTCTGTTTACACTTTTTATTATGTAAAATAGTACTTTTACTGAAATAATGTTAGCCATGTGATTTTTCTGTATTTCTGAGAAAATAATCCTCATACTACCTACTGTTCCCAGTGCCCATGCAGTTCTGAAGATTCAGTTGTTTCAGGATAAACAAAATCCAGGCTGCTCAGCAGGCTAATAAGACATTACCAACTTTTCAGAGCCTTGCACACCAGACATGAGACTTTTAAAAAAATATTTTTTTAAAAGCCACTTATTGTAAAGTAGCTTCATGCACACAGTACGTTTGTGAGAAGCCTCAGTACACAAGTTCAAAATTGCTTGACTGCTGGGCTGGTACTAAAGGTATGGCTGCAGATCACCATTGCTATTTCCTCACTGTTTGATACCTTGACGTCTTTGAGTACTGCTTCTGTTTTGGTATGCATATTGATAGAGAACAAAGCAACAGGAAGTTAAATACTGCAGGCGGCCCTAGGTGTGAAAAACAACATGACTTGATAAACCCCATGCTGATGCTACTGAATCATTTTCCCGTACAAACTGATATATGAAATGGGAAAAGGAGGAAACAGCTTTCGGAACAGTAGCTGGGATATTTAAAATTTCCATTTAAGAATTAAGTATAGCTTTCTATGAGATCTCAGTCTCCTGGTTATTGTGTCCGAGTAGCAGATGTCTGGGGCAAGGAAAGTGAAAGAGGAAGGATTTATGGGAGATTGCTACTAGATTGATAGGCTTCAGGAAGGTTAATCTGCTTTCAAAAGAAACTAAAGTGATTTCTACCCTGCCATTTGGATTTCTGCTGCCATTAATAATGAAGAGATCATAGCAATCAATGACTTTGCCATTGAATCCCTAGAATAAATTCTTGCCCAATGTCTGGAATTATAAGAATTAACTGTTTATTGTAGTGAGATGAAACGTTGTGGTTTATAAAACTATCTGCTAAAAAAGCTGTAAATTTTCTGGATGAGAAAATTTGTGTGTGTGTGTGTGCAAAAATGAGTGATTGTGAAAACTATGTTGCATTCTAATATTCTAATAGAGAGGAAACATAATTCCAAGTTAGCCAGTATGTTCTTCTGAGAGCTGAGGGTAAAAGATTGACATAAAATCTGGGAGACCTATGCGCCAATATAAAAGAGCTATTCTACAAAATTCTGTCCAGATGGTAGACTAGACAGAGGCTGGGAATGTCCATTTTCATCTGGTCAGGATGTGAATTGTACAGAGCTTGATATGTTAAACCTGATTGTTTATAGCACAATTAAGCACTCCCTGTTCCTAAAGAACCAGCATACATTTTGTTGCAGTTTGACATTTGAGAGGTAATGGTCAAATCATATTGCATCCTTGTATCTTATCTATGACTGACACCTAAGGTAGGGTTAGATAAAATGTGGAACTTCTACTTTCCCTCCCTTCCTTACTGGCTTAGGGTAGTGAGGACCTTTCTTATTGTTGAAAAGATTATGCACCAAATTGAAGACAGTGGTTGGGTTCACACATAACAAACCAAATCGGTTTCCACCACAGGGTGGTCTGTAATATTGTCGAAACCCTGTTGTGGATTTACTGCACAGTACATTTGGTTTCCATGGAACCATGGAGAGAAACAGCAGTCTGTTGTATGGTTTCTTCATTTCACAGTGGCTTATTTGGTCACCTGAACCCAGTCTAGTTGAAAGAGCTGCAACTGCAAGAACTACAGTAGCCACCCATCCTCTCTGTGCATAGCAGTAAGGAAGATTCAGGCAACATAGGCAAGAGCAGTGCACCCTGAGATTGAATTGCAGCCACACAGGTGGATGAGATCTGTGCCACCATCAAGAGGAATGAGGCAGGAGGCTGGAAACCATGCCTGCATGGAAACCACATGACTGCCTGACAGCCTCACCCAGAAAGAAAACCACGCCATGCAGAAACTGCGTGACACGGCAAATATAACCATTGTGGGCTTTCTACTGCCACCATTATGTGCCCTGGACTCTGTTCACTAAGTATGGCAGATACCTTGAGAGATTTGGTAGCAAGACCTATAAAACTATATACGTATGTTAAATCCTTATTGTTTGGTTCTCCAGCTTAGCTCTGTGGTTTACTTTCCCTATCAGGAATGTTTATTTTGGCAGGTCTTATTTATCATATATATGAGTAAAGTGAATTAAGCTAGCTTTTGCAGAATTTTTCAAGCAATCTCATGCAGATGCACATTAGATTCTTCTAATAAGGCTCAAAATTGAGTTGTAGGCTAACCACATTTTTCTCAAAATTTTCTTCTTAATAGGAAACCAAAACTCAGTGTGTTCGAATTGCTACCAAAGGTAAGATGTTTTCCTCCTTTGAACAGATTTTTACTTCTTGCTTTGGAACTAATTAAATGTGGCTTTTCTATTGTTGGACATTTGTATTTGGATCTCATTTATAGTGCCAATAAAATACTTGTCTTCTGCTTGATGTGTTAACATATGACAAAGTGCAATCTCCTGGGGAGGCAGTAGCTTGTTTTATGGCGTGGGGAGTGGAAGGTTTGCTTACTGTTGAAAACTGGCATAAGTAAGCAAGTTTTTGCGAAAAAAAGGAATGTTAATTCCACTTCCCTGTGGGTTCATTTCACTTGTAGAGGCAGTGAAGTGTGACCCATAGAGTGAAAAGTAATAATTTGGCATTTTAAGGTGTCTTCAGCTGTTTTGGCTTACAGCTACCACAGTCCCTTTCCATTGACACAATCCCTTTCCATTGACAATGCTGCCTTGAGCTTGTGGGAGTTGTAGACCAAAACATCTAGAAGAACTTCAGTTGCCCACTCCTAGACATGTCTGCAATAGTGTTACAGCATGGCAATCAGAAAAGTTTCACTGTAATCCTGACCTCATCCCAAGTGTTTCCAAGCCCTGGAATAGTAGGCTAATGTAGCTATTGTTGATACTGATTGAGTGGCAATTCCTTAAAATTTAGGAAAGGTAAAGCAAAGCTACATGTGGATAACCCTAAGACAAACTGGCTGGGAAAAATTGGCTGTTACCTGCAGAGCATAGGATATCTGGCTGCCGGGTTCAGTTATATTTTCCCTTACGTAACACTTTTTTCTTACAAACTTACATCTTCAAATAAGTACCTGGAGCCCATAATATCATTATCCTGCTCTGTGTTTATAGCATTCATTACTCATTAATCCTAGGCCTACTTATACGCTACTCACATGTAGGCCCTCACTGGGTTGAAGCAGGGACCTCACCATGCATCCAGACTTGCTCCCAACATTATATGTCTATCTTTGCAACACACAAGCAACTCTTTACACAGAAAGGCTGTATGTGATTGGGACAACTGGTCACCCTGGTCCCTACATGCAAGCAGCTGCTCATTCACTGAGGTTCCTTTGTAGATGCACATGATCAATGCACAGCTGCCGGGAGACAAATGCTCTACATTGCAGGTGGGCTAAAAATTACAGCCTTGTTCCTGATTTGACACAGTAAGCTCCTATATTCAAGTGAGGAATCATTCTGCTGTCATTAGGTGAAGATGCCAGGATAAATGACATGAAAAATAATCAAATATTTGTCACGTCTTGGTGTGTGCCCATCACTGATGTGCACACATTCTCATGGAGCATTTTAAATATAACCAGGAAAAGCTCAAAGCATTACATTTGTTAACTGAGATGGAGAAAAAAATAGAGTAAATGCTTCAGGGAGGATGAGCTGCATGTGCATGACCAGTGAGTTCTGCCTTCTTTCTTATTCATTGTTTTTAATTTTCCATAACTTATAATGTATACTTAAGCCTTTTGTGTGAGTGTGTGATTATGTTAGTAATCCTTGCAACAATCCTGTGTAGGAAATCAGCATGATTAACTCCTACTGGAGATAAAGGGTTGTTGCTGATGTGAGAAATGAACCAGAAAATCCACCTGGCTATACCAGCATTTCCTTAGCCATGTGTACATTGCCAGCATTGCCAGCCCATCCCTAATCAGCATTTTAAAAATGTTATTGTGAAGGCTTGAAAATAAAGGGCATCCATCATATTGTACCCTTTTTGGTGGGGTGTGCATGGGTAATACCTTAATCTAAGAAAGAGAAAACCTTTGCTAAAAAGCCGTGCAGTCAGACATTTGAATGGCAACTTGTTCCCACCTCTGCCTATCATTTCCTTCTGAGTAGTGTGCAACGGGGCACATTGATAAGTATAAATAGTTACACAAGATGTGGCAGGACATATTATCAGTAACCACAAGATTGACAGATCTGCCAAACTTTTCAATATATCAGTTCACTGTGAAAAATACTTTTTAATAATTATTTGTGAATTAGATCAAAGGGATTTGGCTTTCTCATATGTTTGATGTTGCAGTGTGTCACAAATGATTTAGCAGAGAGTGTCAGCAGTGTATTCAATTTGCAAGGTGCTGGTGTAGGAGCCTGTGGCCCGTTTGTTGAAAGCTTGCTGGCCTTGACAATTGGAGGATCCTTTCTGTGAACACCAATGGCAAATTTTAAATCACTTAATACATTTGAGGCTTGGAGTATTGCCTAGAGTGGGAAATATAAAATCAAATTATTCTGATAAGCACATTGCATAATAGCAAACAATAAAGAGCAGGGGCCCAAAATCATTTTGTGAGCTACTTTGGCACCCATCCCAGAGTCTACAATAGTCTTGTTCCCTTTTCTTACAAAATTTAAAAGCCTGTCTCTCAGCTAGAGTTGAGCTCCTTAATATTTCCAGGTACATCTAACTGCATGACATTTTAATCTTTAAACACAGATGCCTTTAGAAATTTTGCATAAACTTCTTGGTAGAATCTGAAATCATTTTCAAGCCCGAAGAACAAGAAACAGGCAGTAATTTTCACCTGCAGTTGCCATTTTGATTTTATTTTTTTATTTATTGAGGTAAGGCTACCTTACGTGATGCTGTAGCTGGCATAGTTGACACCATGTGGCACAAAAGCATGACCTGGCAGGCACTGGTGTGATGGTTCTCAAATAGATTGTCAAGAAATGGTTGTGGTTAATCGCTGTCAAGTCACCTCTGACTTATGGCGACTCTCTGAATGAATATCCTCTAAAATGCCCTTGCTTTTAGGAGGCTGTTCAGCTCCATAGTTTTCCATGTTGCAAAGAGCCATGAAACAGGCAGGTATGGGCTAAAGAGGCCTTTTCCAGTGTGGGGCTCTCAGGATCCATTGGGCTTCCATCTGCCCCAGACATTCTGACTAATGCTCGGATATAATGGGAGTTGCAATGTAGTACAGTCACTGCACAAAACATCTGGAGGACAGCACGTTGGATTTACCATAGAGGAAGACTGGTTCCTTTAGTAAATACTTATCCATTTGTGCAGTCCAAGGACATAGATGAACTCTTTGGAGAAAGGCCAACTACTTGCCTGGTCAATTCTTTCCTTTTCTGGCTGATAAAAGTATCAGAATAGAGACTGGCCAAATAGGTGGAAACAATGGCAAACGGGTTCTCTAGTGAGCTATGGTGCCTAAGGATTTGAAGGAAGCAGTGGTATCTGATATTTTTATACCAAAACCCAATAAAAGAATAGTGAAAAAAAGAATAGATGATTTGATGTCCGGAGTCTATCATTCTTTGATCTGAAAATAATTTTCAGCAATTTCCACTTAGTTTTGTGGTGTTTTAGCAGAACACCTAAACATATGTTTTGGACTGCAGTTTATCAAACACTGCCAAAGGTACTTTAAGGACAAAAACTGTCTCCGTATCTGTGTGTTGAATACCCCATGTCAGACCAATACACATGCTAATTAAATTTATTCTTGCTTCTGAGGCCACACCATGTATTCACTAATACTGTGTTTCTTGTTGTCAACACATGGGAATGGGGAATCTGGGTTGGTTAAATTTTTGTAGTGTGCTCTGAGCAGAAAGGTATCTGTTTTCAGTAGACTGGTAATGTAGTTGTTACTTATCACATCTTTAATGTGCTCTTCTATAAAAATCTTAAAGAGATTCTCTGAAATGTGATCTGTATGTATAACTGCAATGGAGACTTTACTATCCTTCTTTACTGAAACTTTGAATTTGGCCATTATGTTGTAAAACAAAAAGGTCTGTGAAGGCAATTTCAACAGTCAGTTATTACCATAATTCCCTTGAGACTATAATCCTCTGCTCACGAAGAGGGTGTTCTGGGCCCAGTGAGACTTTGTGAGAACTTTGTGAGACTGTAGCATAAGCTGTGGAAAGGAAGTTCTGCAGGCGTATAAGTTCTGCCCTTTGAAGTCTTCATGTGGTGGTGGGAATCTCTTTACCACTGGAACTCTGATGGGAGAAGAGGATGAAGTAAAGGATTTCTGGGGGAATTGGGGGCAGTAGCAGCTGCAGAGTCAGAAGGGCTGTGAATTTTTAAGGAGCTATGCATCCTGTCTGACCCTATTTTGAGGGATTGGGTTCAGCAGCATGGATTGCCCCATTATACTTCTTAAGTAGAGAAAGAATTATACCACGTTAGGTTATTTCTCTCCCATTTGAAGAAAATGTTCCAATGTAAAAGAAAGTATAGGCCCAAAAGCAATGCTCACTGATTACATAAAATGCTCCAACCTACCTTCGGTCTTTCTGGCGCAAAAGCATCCAGGCACAGGAAGTGAACAGAAGAAAAGCCATGCTGGATCAGACCAAACCAGTTGCCCACAGGATTGTTCAAGCAGGTTGGGTTCAATACTTCTACCTGCCCAAGTTCCTCAGCAGCTGGCATATGCAGACATCCCGCAAGGCTAGCAGCCAATGATAGCCTCCTCCTCCATGAATCTGTCCAATACCTTTTTAAGGCCATCCAGGTTGCTAATCATTCCATCCCTCCAGACACCCCATTGGACTGTTCTATAAGGGAAGTTAGCACTAATCCCCAAATTCTGTGCAATGGTATTGTGTAATCTGATGAATGGCTGCATAACTGTCTGGCTGCATTTCCCAAATAAACTGAGTTTTAAAAAAAATTGCAGCAATTGGGAGACTACTTATATAAAAATACCTGGTAAGGAATTCTATTAAAAATTAGGTTATGATGTATGCAATTCTCAACTTACTTTCAGTGTGGTTAAACATCTTTGAAGGCTAGTGTCTGTTTTCCCACAGGATATATAAAATATTAATACATACTTTTATGTATGTTGTGACATGCCTTCTAGTGTATTTCCCAGCAGTATTACATTCTTTGTGGGTTTGTTTTTATTCAAACAGAATCTACTTGAAACCAAATTTGTTTTTAGGCTTCCTGATGGGAGTTGTTTACTAAAAATAAATAACAAGTTTCATTTCCATGATGTATTCTATTTATCTTTAAC